TGCACACAAATACACCCGAGAGTTTTTAATGCCCCTATTTTACGGATGCAAGCCACAGAACAACCTGTCAAGGAGATGAAAACGCAAATAACAGTAAACACAAGGATATGTTAAGCACAGTCCTGGTCAATTTCCTGGAGGGAATATCTGTAAATAAGCACTGCAGTCTTATGGGAGATGCTGCTCTACTCAGTTCATTCATCTCTCCATTTGTCTCCGAGTCCCACATTGCTAATGTCACCCCCAGCCAGACAGAAGCGCTGTGCTATCAAACTGGTTTACCGAAAAGCTAAGAATGAGAGGAGCATCGCCTGGGGCCACTTAAGAGCTCCACACTCATCTCAGAGCCACCATGATATGGCCTGTTTATGCGTTCATCTCAAACTGTGAGATACTAACTCTGCTACAGTATTACGGTTCAGGGATGGCATGCGACCCTATGATGTCATAAAGCTCAAGAAAAACAAGGTCTAAAGGTTAAAAAATTAAAGAGCTGCTTTATATTCCAACCACCAATATATGGCAAAAGAACATATTCACATTCATTTTTGACTACAGAAAAATACCCAAGCATTTCAACCCTAATTAGATACATCTCTTTCAACCATGCTGTATTTTAATAGAAGGTGATTAACTGATCTAATTATAGTCATAGGTATCGCCTGCATACATCACGGACGAATTCATCACAGGAATGAATAAAGTATTATTATTACTATTACTATCAAAATTCATCTTCTGTGCCAACTTTGTTACTGGTTGAAAGTAAGTTAGTCTTTTTCCTTTCAATGACTGAATTTATAGGAAGCGGACTTAGACATTTTATTATGAGATATATGTGGGGGAACACTTTTTTAGTGACCAATGGACACATGACAAGGTAGTGGCACCAGCCCCCCATCATTGAAACCAGCAGTCAGCCTCTAGCACAGGGATGTCACACTCCAGTCCTTGCGGGTCGGAGGCCTGTGTAACGGCATCTCCCTCTACCACCCTCACCTAGCTACCAAGCAGCTGGAAGTAGGGGTGCACCGATCGATCGGCGCACCGATCGATCGGCGCACCGATCGATCGGCCTCGATCACGTTAATTTGAGGGGATCAGAAATCGACCATATTCCCATGAGATCCACCGATCTTAGTTATATGCTTTTAACTCTTTGGGGTCGAGTATGTCGTCGACGACATCGCG